CCAGCTCTCTGCTGTGGCCAGGGAGTGCAGTGGAGGATGGCCCAAGTCCTTGGGCCCTGCACCCCATGGGAGACCAGGAGAAGTACCTGGCTCCTGCCATTGGATCAGGGCGGTGCGCCGGCCGCAGCACACTGGCCATGGTGGCCATTGGAGGGTGAACCAACGGCAAAGGAAGACCTTTCTTTCTGTCTCTCTCTCTCACTGTCCACTCTGCCTGTAAAAAAAAAAAAAAAAAGTGTGCAAACAACTCAGAGTTCATCCTTGAATGATACTAAAGATACTCTTCCTTTTGTAAACTCCTCAAATTGACTTATTGGGGATAAGTGCATGCGAGCGTCATGATACTTATGAACGATGAGCTCCAACAACTCCCACTCAGCACTAGGTTTCTAAATATCATTCCCCAATAAAAGGAATTCAAGCTACTTGGAGAAATGGCACATTAGACGGGTTGAGCAGTGAAAATGTGAGGTGAGCCTGGACTATCTTGTAGTTCCAAAAATTAGCAAGTGCACAAAAAACGAAAGAATGAGGCACATCAGAGGGTCCAGGATCACCCTGGAAGAGATCTCAGTGGTCAAAGCCATAATCATTTACATAAAATAAAGTACTAGGTTACGGATCCATATAAATGTGACTGAACAAATGGAGAATAAGAACTTAAAATAATATACAAGTACACAGATATTTTCCCCTCCAGAAAGCAGAACTTCATCCCCACTCCCTTTGAGGGATGAACTTACTCTTGAAAGATAACCTACCGAAAGGTTAATGGTAACTTTCCACGGTACAAACTTAGCAGACACCAAGGGATGAGGGCTACCACGTTAGTGATGCCGTGTGGCGATCCTGTGCCCACAAGAAGACATAATGAGAAGGGCTCTTCACCTCTATATTCTTCTCTCCAAAAAGCCTGTTACCTCACTGTAATCATTATGAGAAAAGCAGACAAACCCAAATTGAGGAACACTTTACAACATATCTAACCCATACACCTCAAAATCGTCAAGGTCAGATACAAGAAGGGGGAGACTGGAAAATTGTCACGGACAACTAAGGTCAAGGAGAAACAGTAACTGGACGCCAGGTGCTGTCCTAGACTGGATCCTGAAACAGAAGAGGACATCGTACTACAAGCCTATAACATTAGGAGAAATGAAATCGGGTGGGGGATACACGATAACTCTCTTGTGTAACAACTGTTCTGTGGGTCTGAAAGCATTTTAAGGGGCTGGTCTGTGGCATAGTGGGATAAGCCATTGCCTGCAACATAGCATCCCACAACGAAGTGCCAGCTAGAGTCCTGGCTGTTCTGCTTCTGATCTAGCTCTCTAATACACCTGAAAAAGCAATTGCTCATGGCCCAAGTGTCTGGGCCTGCCATCCACACAGAAGACCAGAATGGAGTTCTAGGCTCCTGGCTTTCACCTGGCCCAGCCCTGGCTATTGTGGCCATTTGGGCAGTGAACCAGAGGATGGAAGCTCTCTTTTTGCCTTTCAAATACATAAAATTCTGTTTTTTAAAAGCATTTGAAAACTTTTAAGATTTTATTTATTTCAGAGTTAGAGAAAGAGATCTTTTATCTGCTGGTTCACTCCCCAGATGGCCACAATGGCCTCTGCTGGGCCAGGCCAAAACCACAAGTCTCATCTGAGACTCCCATGTGGGTGGCAGGGGCTCAAACACTGGGGTTACCTTCTGCTGCTTCTCCCAGGCCTTTAGCAGGGAGCTGGATTGGAAATAGAGCAGCCAGAACATGAATCTGTGACTATCTGGGGTACCAGCCTTGCAGGCAGCAGCTTTACCTGAAATGCCATGACGCTGACCCCAAGAGTTTATTGAAAACAAAATTTCAGAGATTCAGATCAAGAGAGTATGGAAGCTTCCTGTATCAAAAATTGCTGGTTCCCAAGTCCTTGGGCCCCTGCACCCATGTGGGGGACCCTGAAGCAGCTCTTGGTTCCTGGCTTCAGATCAGCACAGCTCCAGCCGTTGTGGCCAATTGGGGAGGGAACCAGCGGATGGAAGACCCCTCTGTCTCTGCCTCTCCTCTCTCTCTGTGGAACTCTTTCAAATAAATAAATCTTTTTTTTTTTTTTTAATGCTGGTTATTACAGTTATCCCAGTGTTTGTCTACCTTACAATGGATTTTTATATTTTACATTAGCAAAGGTGTCCTACCTCTCATCCCAAGTGCCTGTTTATATAAGTCTTTTAGGTGCAAAGATCATGAGGGAATAAAAGTCTGAACTTTGGGGCTGCTGTTATGGCGTAGCATTAAAGACACCACCTGCCATGCTGGCATTCCATACAGGCACAGGTTCATGTCCCAGCTGCTCCACTTCTGACCCAGCTCCTTGTTTATGGCATGGGAAAAGCAATGGAAGATGACCCAAGTGTTTGGGCCCCTGCCCAAATGAAGCTCCTGGCTTCAGTCTGGCTGTTGTGGCCATCTGGGGAATGAACCAGCAGATGAAGGATCTGTCTCTCCCTCAACTCTTTCAAGTAAGTAAATAAATCTCTAAAAAGTCTGAACTTAGTACAAACAATATACTACTTTTATGAGTGTCTGTGAATAAAGGCATTTCAAAATTTTACAATCTAATTCATTTTATCAGATATTATGTCATAGTAGGGCCAAAAAATTAAGTAAAAATAGATTCAAATTCTTTATACACCTTGCCACTATCACAGATTCTATTTTAATGAGTTAGAATTTCTGGGTATTGTAGGGAACTTTTTAAAATACACTATATTACAAAAAAAAAGTACCTCAGATGTTTGATAGGTCGACTCATAAACTAGTTGACACATTTAAGTAAAAGGAGGTACTATTGGCGCCGCGGCTCACCAGGCTAATCCTCCGCCTAGCGGCGCCGGCACACCGGGTTCTAGTCCCGGTTGGGGCGCCGGATTCTGTCCCGGTTGCCCCTCTTCCAGGCCAGCCCTCTGCTGTGGCCAGGGAGTGCAGTGGAGGATGGCCCAGGTGCTTGGGCCCTGCACCCCATGGGAGACCAGGAAAAGCACCTGGCTCCTGGTTCCTGCCATCGGATCAGCGCAGTGCGCCGGCCGCAGCGCGCCGGCCGCGCGGCCATTGGAGGGTGAACCAACGGCAAAGGATGTCTCTCTCTCTGTCCACTCTGCCTGTCCAAAAAAAAAAAAAAAAAAAAAAAAAAAAAAAAAAAAAGGAGGTACTATTAAGATAAATAATGAGATATCTTAGTAGTTAACAATTTATATAAAATAGGCTTAGTGTTAGTATTTAAACTAAGACTGTCTTTGGCAAACTCAAACATAGGGTCACCCTACCTACAGAGCCCATTTTGAGACATACTACTACATTATACAGGAAACAGTATGCAGTAAGCACTTCCTGGCAATTAAAATGTTAATAAAATAGAATGTTAATAAGTACCAACCTGAATTCTATAATACAGAAGGTAATGATAAAGTGAGGTATTTATGTGGTTTACAAAGTCATTAGCCATTATTAATAATGATATAGAGGCCGGTGCCGTGGCTCACTTGACTAATCCTCTGCCTGTGGCACTGGCACCCCAGTTTCTAGTCCCAGTTGGGGTGCCGGTTCTGTCCTGGTTGCTCCTCTTCCAGTTCAGCTCTCTGCTGTGGCCTGGGAGGACAGCAGAGGATGGCCCAAATGCTTGGGTCCCTGCACCCGCATGGGAAACCGGGAGGAAGCATCTGGCTCCTGGCTTCGGATTGGCACAGCGCTGGCCGTAGCGGCCATTAGGGGAGTGAACCAACGGAAGGAAGACCTTTCTCTGTGTCTCTCTTTCACTGTCTATAACTCTACCTGTCAAAAAAACAGAACAAAACAAAATAATAATGATAAAGAATGCCATATATATATATATATATATATATATATATATATAAAAACACCTTAGGCCGGCGCCGAGGCTCAATAGGATAATCCTCCGCCTGTGCCGCCGGCACACCGGGTTCTCGTCCCAGTCAGGGTGCTGGATTCTGTCCCAGTTACTCCTCTTCCAGACCAGCTCTCTGCTATGGCCCAGGAGTGCAGTGGAGGATGGCCCAAGTGCTTGGGCCCTACACCCGCATGGGAGACCAGGAGAGGCACCTGACTCCTGGCTCCGGATCAGCGTGGTGCGCTGGCCACAGCAGCCATTGTGGGGAGTGAACCAATGGAAAAAGGAAGACCTTTCTCTCTGTCTACTCTGCCTGTCAAACAAACAAACAAACAAACAAAAAAACAAAAAAAAAAACCACCTTAACACAATTACCTCACACTAAGGACATGCCCATCTGACTCTAAGTGGTCTGCCTCTGAATGTGCAGATTGTACCTTTGGAGTCAAACCATATACAAAGACATGAAGCTCCAGATGGCTGTCTAAAAACAATTAGCAACCCACTAAAGGGCTTATCTAAAGAACATCTAAAATCATAGATATTTTCAGTTTATTATGGTAGTCCACAATAACAAATTAAACTTTGACTCATAAAACTTCCATTTTCTTAATCAAGTAGGTATTCTATTAAATCTATATATACACTGGAAGCTCTTCTGATTTTTCTAAAACTTTCATGATAAAATTAGGTTAGCCTGAAGTATTTCAGAGTATAAAGTCTCAACAATACAACCCCTTCATGTTAATCTTTGCTGCTATACACTCTAAGTATGTAACTCTGACCAAAATCTTAATCAATGTCATTAAGGATTTACCCACCCAATTCAATTAACCTACACATTTTCCATTTAAAAATTATTTTCATGTTAATAGTCAATTACATCCCCCTTCGAACAACAGACTTACTTCAACATGACAAACTTCCCATTCACTTTTAAGTCTCTACAAATCCAAAAGTCAGACTGTAGGAAACACAATGAAAAATGAAAAAAATCTCTGCCACACCCTTCTAACTACTAAGCTACACTACAAAGACAATTCTAAGTTCAAAAAGAAACAAAAGAGGCAATATTAAAACCTCCTAGAATGTCCAAGAAATTAGACTAGTTTAGTTTTCTTTAATAGCTTCTTTAATAAGACAGTACAGCACACAACTGAGGCCCCAGTGTGTCAGTTAAACATGGGGATGTATATGCATATGAAGAGAATGGAAACAAGTTTAAACTTAACCCCATTCCTTTTGGCAACTAATGGAAATACAGAAACAAATGGACCATTTCTCTCTCAGTGTATTTTATCAAGTCTTTGAAGACACCATAAGTTTTATAACAAACTTTGCTGTGATCAGTTAGAATCTTCAAATTAAATTACAAGGATGTTTAAAACAAACTTGCAATCTTCTCCTATAGTAGATTTGACTTAAGCACAATGAAAAGGGGGTTTTACTAATAATATCCACATGAAGTATCAGAATTAATCTCAGGTAAGATCAATGCAGCTACTTCCCCACCTTAGATAAAGGACTAAATATGGTGTCTTCAGCTGCTTATAAAAAGTGTTAAATACAAGAACAAAAAAACCTTTTTTTCTGAATTACAGTCAGTAAAACAAATGAAAAAACTAAACCAAAATGCAAGAATGGCCTTTAAATGATTTGTTACTAAATATAAACATATACTCAAAGCACTTTTTAACTTTTAAATTGTAATTTAACCAGAACTGTAATACCCACTCAAGAAATAAGATAAAATTCTAATGTCCTGGTAATCAACATATTAGAAAACAACAGATACTAAATTCGAAACTTAGGAAATCAAATACATGAAACAGAAGAACTGTATTTTAAAGCAAAGGTATGAAAACAGGAATTGCTAGGAAACTATCGGCACTGAAGCTTTTCCTTGGGAGTATCTTATTGTAAGGTATAAACTATAGTGAAGACAAACGCGGTGGGCAGAATATTCAGAACCACAGAACAAACACAGTGACGAGTTAGGGCAGACACAGTGAGTGCACTTTGCAATCCACAGGAGCAATCTGCAGCTTTCAGCAATTACACCAGCAAATATTTTAGTGTTCTTATTATTATATTAATTTTAAAATTTATTCCATGTTACAACAGTTCCATTTGTACAACAGCTGACAAAAGCAAATTAGAAGAACCCTAAAATTAAGTCTTCATTAATTGGGAGAGATTCACTTCATCCATTTGAACAAACCCCCTTCCCCATCCTTAGATCCAAAACAACGTGAAGATTTTCTAGTTCAGATGGAAGTCACATCATACACAAAGTCTGTTAGTTCAGGAACGAGCACAAAATAAACTCCTAAAATCAACTACTGACTTAGGAGAGAGTCTGAGAATTAACCTAGCCACAAGCCGTTCCAATCTTCCTCTTAATGCAAAAATTTAATCATAAAAATTGGCCAAATAGTTAATCCCTTCCAAAAACTCCTCTAAAAATTGTTTTGATTCCAAAATAAAGAACGTGAAGAATTTTGAAAGACTCTATATAATTTATCAAAGGTCTATCTTTACTGGTTTTACCATGTTCATTCCATCATATCTTTTACTAAACAATAGGCTTAATGGTCATTTCATTATGGCATATTCTTCAAAACCTAATCTTTCAGAAGGGCTGACAATCCAGAACTGGTTTTAGGAATTTATTAGATATTTACAGGGCATACTAGCTGGCAACTAATAGGTCATACATCGCGTTTAAACATTCCAACTTCAAACACAGGAAATAATCAGAGGAGGGCAATGACATATAATTGCAATGTATGATGGCAGCAGATCAGTCATTCTTCACCTAAATCAGCTGCCAATAAAACTGTGTGCACAATTTTAATGAATGAGTCTAGTTTAACGAACCTGCCATTGAGCCGAGAAAGATTAAGAACTGCATTTGCAATTCTACCTAGTGAATTCATAAGATTTGTATAAGGCAAATAATGCGGAAACTTAGAACAGAATTTCTAGAACCATTTGTCCTGTGATGTTGTAAAATCAAAGTACTACTTTATTAAATGAGTTATTTTACACAATATGAACATCAATATAATTACAATTGTAAAAAAATTTTTATAACAAGGATGGACTGATTTCCAGATTTCCAAATCAGAGTCAACTGTACATTTACACAGAATTGTCTTTGCATGAAGCTCAAAAGGGAACAGCATAAAAATGAGTGTTTTTGTAGCCCCTGTATTTTTGCTGATCAACAGTTTGTTAGAAAAGCAGCTGCAGGTTTGTTACCTAGGGTCTGAGACAGCAGAAGAGTCAGAGGTGTCACAGATTCGCCTGTAAAACAGAAGCACCGAGTGAGTGCAGCCCTCGCACAAGCCCAGTTTACAAGCACCTCATATGTCAAAGAAAACCCATCAAGTCAGTCTCTGACAGATTTGTAAACTGGATTTGACAACAAGATCTTTGATAAATTTACACTAAAAATAATTCATTCACACACACTGCCTCTTCACCTGCTCCACCATCTAGGGTGACACCCCCAACCACAGAAAGTGATTGATGATTTTCAAGCAGCTATCAAGTCTATACAGTATATGCCTACATTTTGCCCTATATTTTAATGCTTAGAAGCTCTGGTGTTAAGCATTGTAAATAAAGTAAGTTAACAAAGCAACTCAGGGACACTGGTCTTCTCCATTCTTGCACAGGAGTTGGCCAAACATCTACTCATCTCCCCATTTTTGGCTACATCACTAAAAACTAGGGGGTTTCAAAGGCAATGGAAGGAAATGGTCCGAGGAAAAGGATTTCTGACAATTATCAACTGCTCTAGTAAATTTTAAATAACCATAAGTTCTAGTGATGAAATTAAATATAAAAGGGGGAAACAATAAAGTCTCAGCAGGCAGAAATCATTCCACAATTACAAAAGATAGTTCTGCTCAACCCTGACAGTAACAAACCAACAGAAAGAGTCAATTACCTGTAAACAACTTTATGCCTGAACATCAGCCAATTCTGGAGGAAGCGGAGTCTTAGGATGTTTGCTCTCAAAGTGCTGCTTGAAGGTCTTAGGGTCTGGCATTTGTGTCTGATTTGTAAAATGTGCAAAAAAAAAGAAGAGCTGGACTTTATTTATGAAATAAAAAAATGTGCTACAGTTTAAAGTTGTGAATCTGCTCCTGACAATTATCACAAAATACTCTTAAATTCCTATACCTCGATGGCATGCATATGATGAGGGATTCTGTGACAAATTAACATTCCCACTTTTCAAATATAAAGGGGTAGGTAACATCGCATGGAGCATTCTGTTTATCTCTTTAAAGCAAATAACAGGTAACACTTACTAAACCTGATTATGTTCAGCATGTTACCTCAGCTCTCACGGAACTTGCACAGTATTCTTACTTCCTATTATCCTCAATTTACATGATAAGGAAACTGAAACTGAATTTGCCCAAGACCTACTTTGTTAGCTACCAGGTACTTCAGCTCTTAAATACTACACTACACAGTACTGATTTTCCTTGCAAGGACCTTCAGTTATTCACTCTTCAGTGCATTCAATTACATAAAACATGAAATTCAAGTTGCTGACTTTGAGTTTTAAAATATGTGAGCCACTTTAGTACTTTCAGGTCAACGTATTTCTTCATCACTGATGTAGTGAAATTTATCTTCAGCTTGTCTCTTTCCAAAGAGAACCAGAGATACTCAATTTTATTATCCTGAATTTATCAAAGTTCAATACAAACAAGATATTTTTTTGTTTTTGTTTTTTTTTTTTTGACAGGCAGAGTGGACAGTGAGAGAGAGAGACAGAGAGAAAGGTCTTCCTTTGCTGTTGGTTCACCCTCCAATGGCCGCCGCGGCTGGCGCGCTGCGGCCGGCGCACCGCGCTGATCCGATGGCAGGAGCCAGGAGCCAGGCGCTTTTCCTGGTCTCCCATGGGGTGCAGGGCCCAAGCACCTGGGCCATCCTCCACTGCACTCCCTGGCCACAGCAGAGGGCTGGCCTGGAAGAGGGGCAACCGGGACAGAATCCGGCGCCCCGACCAGGACTAGAACCCGGTGTGCCGGCGCCGCTAGGCGGAGGATTAGCCTAGTGAGCCGCGGCGCCGGCCACAAACAAGATATTTAATGGAATAAATTCCCTCTCTCCTAGAGTAATAAGAACTTTTGTGTAGATACGAGCTTCCTTTTCATTGGTAATCACTCCAACAGATGATAAACTTCAAAGAATCATGTTTTATCAAGATCCCTTCATGTCCATATTATCAACCCTCCCCAGGAACAGGGGCCTTGAGAATTACTCATGTCCTGACGCACCCCATTATGCATATTTCCTCAGGGACTTGCATCTACTAATTTGAAGAGAGGTGAGCTTACATATGGCAAGAAGACACTTGGGACTTCAGACACTGCTCTAAGAGGCAGTGGATGAAGGAGATGGAATGTGTTCAAATTCCAGAATCCCAGTCCTTCTGCTTCCTAGACCAAGTTTCTTAACTCCTACAACTCAACTTACTCTTTTGTAAGATGCAAACAATAAAAGTCTCACAGGATTGTTCTGTGGATTAAATGGATGAATACATATAAAACACATGGAATAGTGTCTGGGACATGGTAAGCACTCAATAATAGGTGTTACTAGCATTCTTCAAATCCAATAAAACTCAACTCTAGTAAAAACCCCAAGCACAAGTACATTGTATGTAGTTTTGTTGACAGTGTACCTGTAGGCTTAGGGGAGGGGAAAAAGTCAACTGCATAACCAAAGGTGCATTCACCTTTGGTATCTTACATAGTGTAGTCAGACCTAAACTAAGAAAGTAGATCTAGGGGTCAATGAAATGGCGCAGCAGGCTGAGCCACTGCCTTCAGTGCCAGTATCCCATATGCATGCTAGCTCAAGTCCCGGTTGCTCCAAATCCAATCCAGCTCCATGCTGATGCACCTGAGAAAGCAGCAGAGAATGGCCCAAGTGCTTGGGTCCCTGCCACCCACATGGCAGACCCAGATGAAGCTCCTGGCTCAGACCAGGCCGTTGTTCCTCCATTTGGGGAGGAACCAGTGGATAGAAGATCTCTTTCTCTCCACTTTTGTCTCTTTCTCTTTGTAACTGCCTCTCAAATAAAATGCTATATACATATAAAAAGAATGCAGATTTAGCTTCCTTACAAAGTTCTACCCATTTAAAGACATCTTTACTCTTCATTAGGCAACAGACTATGCTTTGTTCATTCCTGGTCCCCAGCACCTAAGAAAATTAGGGCTAATGATAGGAGACATTCAAAAAACATTTGTAGATTGAGTGAATGAAGATGGATTTCTAACCAGCTCTCTAATCTATTTCAAGTAAAGCATCTACTTTGCCATTGTTGGTAAAATCTCAATCTATTCAAGCCAATTTATAGTGAAAGAGCTGTTTAAGGAAAGCAAGGTCTCTGGACCCCCTCACCCTGCAGACAGTGCAGGTGTATATTAAGGCAGCTTTGGCAGCAGCCTTTTGGTCATGTCCTTGTTTCTTCTTTTGTCCAGCTTGCTTCTTGGCATTTTTCTGCTGAGACTGAATCTTCTGCTGTCCACGAGCCATATCTAAAATCAGAAGTTGAGACATTAGAGTGATTTTATTTTCTCTAATACAGTAATCTAAGCATTTTCACTTTGTCTCTTTCCAAGCAGAATCAAGATGTTCAATTTCATTATCCTGAATTTATCAAAGTTCATTAAGAACAAGATATTTAACGTAATAAATTCTAAGCATTGAAGCCTTAGGTTTTATAGAAACATCCAGCAATCAGAACATAGCCGTTTTCAAGGTCTCACATGATACTTTTAAAATACAGTATAAATTTAAAGAGAATAAACTGGTACAACCATTGTGGTAGGTGTCTATTCTATGATCCAGTAATTCCACTGTTGGGATATATCCAACAGAAATGCAAATATACACCCAGGTCTACTTTAAAAATTCATCTAAAAATGTTTGTACTTTTACTGTATGTAATCCAGAGAAAGTTTCTGAACAAAGTTTAATCCCTCCCACCGTCATTTAATTTGATCATTTTGTAAAGGTAATTTTCCCTTCCAGTATTCATTGTTGTGATCTGCAATTATTCTAACTTTAAGAGAAATAAGAGCTATCAGTTAGCCCATCTAAAGAGCATAGGAATAGGTGGGACTATTCTCTTAAATACTTGTTTCATAAAACTGTGATAGTCTAAATTTTCCCCCAAAATTGGGCTTTGCTGAATTACTGAGCAAATTGTTAAATAAGATTAAGTTACTTCCCAGTTGAGAGAATGAACCTGTCAAAAAGGTAAGGGTATCTATTTTTTATTACTAATGGTCTGAAGTGAACCTAAATAGATCAAAATTGTCACCAAAAAGTACTTTTACTTTTCCATTAAAATCAAAGACTTCTACTGACAATACAAGTTAAATCTGCTCATATAGGGTCTATGAGCCTCAACTGCTTTTTAAATATATTAAAACTGGATCCTAAGTAGAATTCCTATGTACAGTTCTGATTAGCACTGTAATTTAATTTTAAACTTTTAAGTCACTGCAGTACATGAACACACAATGGATCTAAATCAACTGTACTCAGAAAGTGGGCTGGCTTAACTAAGCTTTCCTCCCTGTTCCCCAAAAGGGGAAACCAAAATAAATAAATGTTTGGAAAAATTCCCACTAGCATTAAACACAGAACTAAGTCAGATAAGATAAAGAGGATCAAAGCTTTTCTAAAATGTGAGTTGAGTATTTTACCAATTACAAAAACATCTAGCATGCCAACTTAATGGAAGAACCCCACTCCCACCAAACAATGGTAAATATACCCAGCTGTAATAGTACTTGACGACTAGGATTCCATTTTTTTTTTTTAAACCAAATCCTTACTAGTTCTAAGCAAATGGAATTTGTTTTTTCCAAAGTAAAGTTCAGTTTAAATGTTACGGCAAGCTTACAAACCTATTTCCAGGAAACAGATTTGGCTATTTACATATTATTTGGATGACAGTAGTCAGATGTAAAGGCACCAATGGTTTTACTTTGATAACATTCTTTATGTCTCAATGCCTTAGTATCAGGACCTTATTTTAGAATACTTCAGTCCTCTCCCACATCTTAACTCTTCCATACGACCTATTTTATGTATATAAATATACAGGCTTTGTGGGTAACCTTCTGTTTTACATTGGAAAAAAAAAAAAAACTTACATAATGGTAGGCAAGTAATTCCAGAAGTTTATTTGCTATCTAGAAGTTATTTGCTATTTTTATAACATTTTCATACAGCGATTTGTACAAAACAGTGTCACTAGAAACACGAAATTATTCGTAACTTTTGCATTTAGGACTTCTAAAATTTTATATTACACAATAGGTTTAACCCATTTTCCATGATCACCTTACAACGGTAACAACAAAAAGCCATAAACGCTTTAATAAATAAAACGCAGCAGTCACTTGTCCTTATGAAGGAGGAAAGCTTAACACCAGGTAAAGGAAATTGAATCAAACAGGCTAAATGCAAGGGTGGGCCCCTTAACTTCTGACAACAGTCAGCATTTATTTCCTTTCCGAAAGCAAAAATGCAAACCAACAAACCACCTGCTTGTGGACAGCTCAACCTATGACCTGCTCTCAAGCCAATCAAATTTTCTACCAAATCTTAAGCGTGCTGCTCCTTAATTAAATATCACAAACTAAAAGGCAAAAGGTCTATTACAAACACCTGCATGTTGGTTTTTTTTTTTTTTTTTTAATGCAACACTTATTTCGCGTGGTTTTCGGAGGGGGCTGCAGAGAGGGAAGTGGGAGAACGGAGATGTTCTAAAATAAGGAGCTCTCGCAAGAGGCAACAAGTAAACCGGGCTCCAAAGAAGATCCTTTAAAAACCCTAACAGGTAAGAGAAGAAAGGGATTTTGGATCCAGGAAGTGGACTCGTTCTCCAGAAGCATCAGAAAGGAGGAGGCCCAGGCCGCGCTCCACATTCTGACCCCAGCTGCTAGCTGCACGCGTTTGGGGCGAGGGGCGGCTGCGCGCGCCGGGAGGGGGCTCGGTCGGCTCCACCCAACGCCGCCCGGACCCCTGCGGCAGCCCGGCGCGCACCTTCCTTCCCGCCCCCACCGGCCCGCCAGTCCGCACGGACCCCGGCCCGAGACGCGCCTCCCGGAGGCCGCGGCCGCCCGGAACCCGACCCCTGAGGCACCGGGAGGCCGGCCTCGAGCGACCGGCCAGCTGCTGTCGCCCGGGGTAAGGTTACCGCTCGGCTGCCCCCGCTCGGCGGCCGCGGCCCGCGTGCGACCCGGCCACCTGCAGGGGCCTGGCAGGCGCCGGCGCGTCCCCACCCCCGGCCCGCGCCGGGCCCCGCCGTCCCGGGGAGGCCCCCGGCCTCGCGACCCCCGCGGCGCTCCCCACGGACCCCGCCGGCCCGCCTCCACCCCGCTTCCTGGGCGCCCAGCGCCGCCCCCGCCGCCGCCGCTCACCGGGACCGGGACAGTCCTGGTCTGGGAGACCGCGCAGCGCGAGAGGGCCGGGGCAGGTTGGCGGAGAGAAGAAGGTGGAGCGCTCCCAGCACCGCTGCGGCCTCCTCCACCCGCCGAGGAGGGGAAAGAGGAGCGCCGGAGCACAACAGCCCGCGCCTCGCACACCCGCCGCCGCTGCCGCCGCCGCCGCGCGCGCGCGCCCGCCGCCGCCTCAGCCTGAGGGAGGCCACTCCGCCTCGTGCTCGCGCACGCCGCGCCGCTCTCCCAGTGGCCCCAGCGCCGCCAGCCCCGCGCAGCCCCGCCCCCTGCCTTCCTGCGGCGCCCCACCCCCACCCCCACCCCACCCCGGCTCCCGCCCTCTCGCACTCAGGCGCCCTTTCCGGTCGGCGGACCAATGGCAGCGCGCCCCTCTTACATAAGCGCGAGGGGGCGGGCCTGGCGGACGGGAAGTGCCGGGGTTGTTGCCTTGTGTTCCCGGGCGCCCCTCCTCTCCGGCACGCTCTCTCTGGGCGGCTTCTTCACGCGACCCTGTCAGCCGCGTGACCTCGGTCGTGGCTGGCGGAGGTGCGCGGGCGGCTGCGTGTTTCGCAAGTCGCCCGGCCGCGGGCTCGCTCACTCGGGCGGCGGCCCGGCCTCTGCCCCCGCTTCCTTCTGGTGCGCCTCCCTGGCTGGCGAGCGGGTTTCGGCGGCGCCCGCCTAAGTACCGGCTGAGAGGGGCCGGGCCTGGGAGGGCCCCGGCGAGGAGCGCAGGGTCCGCGGTCTGGGCGGGCCGCGCGGTTTTGGTCCCGGTTCCGGTCCCGGTGAGGCCGGGGCGGACGGCACTGAGCAGAGACGCGCAGCCTTTGTTCTCTCACCGCCGCCCTGTCCCTCCCTGCGCGGAGGCTCCCGGCTGTTTTCCTACCCTGGGGTTGTTAGTGAGTTGGGGGTTCAAGCCTCACAGCCCCAGGAAAATGGTGGCTTACCATTAACAACTTGCTAAGAGTTGTACGTATTTATGGGGTGTCGTGTGCTGACTCAATACCTGTACACGTTGTGTAAGTTTCAAACCAAGATAAACTTGCTACTTCAACCAGTTATCGATCATAATGAAAACAGTCAAAATCCCTAATTCTAGCTTTTAAGAGCATTCCTGTTGTAGTCTCTGGGATCATCCTGGAATAGAACACCAGACTTCTTTCAAGTTGCTAGTATTTTGGGAAATGGTTACAGGTACCGACAAAGAGCAACTGGAAACAGCGCTGTAGATACCAGTTTATTCTGTTTTCTTAAGCCCCACCCCCCCAGTACATGGTGGTCTCTTAATTAAATCTATTGGTGACACAAAACAAAAGCTTTGACATTTAATATGCTCGAATTGCCCATAAGCCTCCAGTCTCCCAAATTTGCCTTAGTGCCCAAGGAAATTAGTTGTATATGGATAGTACCCCAATCTCCCAAATTCCAGGGCTGGGATGTGGCTGTCACGGAATTGTTTGGCCAGGAAGGGGTTAACTGCCTCTTGGACTTGGGCGTGAATGGTCTAGATATACAGTCCCTAGTTCCAAGATTTATTTTGATTTGAAAGAGTGACAAAGTGAGAGGAAGAGGCACAGAAATATCTTCCATCTGCTGGTTCACTCCCCAAATGCCTGCAACAGCCAGGGCTGGGCCAGGCAAAGGACAAAAGCCAGGAGCCAGGAGCTCCACCTGGGTCTCCTGTGTTGGTGGCAAGAAGCCAAGCCGTCACCTGCTGCCTCCCAGGCCCATTAGGAATCTGGATTAGACGTGCTGTAGCTGGGGCTCCAACCCGCGCTCTGGGATGTGGCCGTCCTGCCTGGCAGCTGAACCCTCTTGGCCACAATGTCCACCCCACACTTCACTTTTCACTCTTCCCTCCTGTTGCAGTTTAAATTTTATTCATGTCCCTCTGGTACTAGATTCCAAGCTGTTTGCATTACCATCTTATACCCAGTGACAAGCAGTGTGGTAAATATAGTGGTACTGAGCAAATGAACTGTGTCTAAAGAGAGCAGATTTTTTTTTTAAAGTTCTATTATTTATTTTTTTTTTTTTGAGAGGCAGAGTCATAGATTGAGGGAGAGGCAGAGAGAAAGGTGTTCCATCCACTGGTTCACTTCCCAAATGGCCGCAGTGGCTGGAGCTGGGTCTATCAGGAGCTTCTTCCGGGTCTCCCACGCAGGTGCAGGGGCCCAAGCACTTGGGCCATCTTCTGCTTTTCCAGACCATCGGCAGGGAGCTGGATCGGAAGAGGAGCAGCTGGGACATGAACTGGTGTCTATATGGGATGCTGGCAGCGGAGGCTTAGTTTACTAAGCCACAGCATCGGCCTTGGCAGATTCTTTTAATTGACATAAGGCTTTAGTTTAATCATTCCTAGACACCATAGACATTGTAGTCTATTAATACAGCTGATAGGGGGATAAGGTACCTGGAAGATCCAGAGGAAGGAAATCCCTATGTCTTGTCTGCCCATGAATGACCATGGATGGTGCAAAGAGAAATCCAGCTGGTAGGGTTTTCTTCCCTAGATGGTGACTTCTGTTACCTCTAGAATCTCTTTGTCATGGCCTAGATAAAATATTCACTAAAGCCGGTGCTGCTTAAATTTCTGAGTCATGCCTCCTTTGAGAATTTGGTGAAGGTATCAACTTTGCCCTCACACTTCAGCTTATTGTAAAATTCTTGCACACATAAATTCATCCCCCTATGTAAAGTTTCTTAATCTCAGCACCACTGATATTTGGGCCAGATGACGCATGGTTCGGGAGTCTGTCCCGGGATTGTAGGGTGTTCAGCAAATTCTTGTCTTCTACCCTCTTGACATCAGTAGTGCTCCATCTTGAGCTGTGACAATGAAAAATACCTCCAGGTAGTGTCAGATGTTCCCTGGGGAATCAGAACCACCCTTGGTTGAGAACAGCTGCTACAGGGTATGGCATGAAGGTAACGTTGTATATGGTTAGGACATTTGAAATATGAAGGGAAAAAGTGAAGACGAGAGTGGATAAAATTCCACATCTGTGATCTGACAAACAGTAAAAGAAAGAGGGATAAATTAGCATTACTACCAGCTGTGTCCTACTTATAGAAATGTGACAACAAATGGCATATGAACTCCTCGGGATTTTTGTATACATCTCTGGTTTTCATTGTGAGTAGTAAGCCTACTGATTATTTTTCCTCTTCTGCCTTTAGACAATTATTCTAGGTTAACATGCAATAATCATGTGCTCATTCTCTATCCCAAATCAAAACAGAACAAAATACCTCTCTGAAGACGAACAAGGCTTATATATTTGTAGTCATGTAGGATTTTCAGAGACAAAAGAGTAGGCAGTTGATCAATCTGTTATTTCCCAAGTAAACAGGTTATTCTGAATGCCTTTTCCCAATTTATCTGCAGCATGTAGGTTAATATCTAAATGTAGTAAAGTGCTCAGCTCAGAGGTTTGTTAGAGAACAAAAGAGACAAGATCCTGGTCCTGTCAGGCCTTTTGTCAGTGACAAACCCACAGCCATCATGACAACATTGAAATGGAAACAGAAACGCTTCCTTTGCTAGCTCTTCTTCTACCCAACTTCTGCTGCAGCCTGGATTCCTGTCTTCTCCACATTCTTCCTGAAGAAATCTCAACCACCGTTGAGGCTTAAATAACACATTTAAGATGACTTCCACTTCCCCGTCTCCAGTTCAAACCTCTCTTCTCCAAATGACAGATTCAAGTACCTACTTTTCATCTCCACTGTTTTATGGACATGTCCCATTTAATACCATTTATTGAATCTGACAAACCATCCATTTTAAGTTATGTTCATGTCCACTAAGAAAAAAATATTGCCAACTCTGACATAATATAATGTACCTTTGGTGGTAAGATATGTCTTGATTTCAGACAGGTTAAAATCGGTTTAAAAAATAATGTGCTTTATTAGGCTGGCACAAAGAAGATAAAAATGCTTAAGAATAAACATACCAAGAGAAGTGCAAAACTTATATTCTGAGCACTAAACCACACCATTGAAACAAATTAAAGACCTAAATAAATGGAAAAGGCATCTCCCAGGAATCAGAAAACTTAATGTTGTAAACATGGTAATAATTGCCAAACTGGTTTACAGATTCACTCCAATGCCTTCCAAAATGCTGGCTGACACCTTTGCATGAATTGACAAGCTTATTCTAAAACTTATATAGAAATGCAAGGGATCGGCCGGTGCCATGGCTCAATAGGTTAATCCTCCACCTAGCGGCGCCGGCACACCAGGTTCTAGTCCCGGTCGGGGCGCCGGATTCTGTCCCGGTTGCCCCTCTTCCAGGCCAGCTCTCTGCTATGGCTAGGGAAGACAGTGGAGGATGGCCCAAGTGCTTGGGCCCTGCACCCCATGGGAGACCAGGAGAAGCACCTGGCTCCTGCCTTTGGATCAGCGCGGTGCGCCGGCCTCAGCGCGCCGGCCGCAGCGGCCATTGGAGGGTGAACCAACGGCAAAAGGAAGACCTTTCTCTCTGTCTCTCTCTCTCTCACTGTCCACTCTGCCTGTCGAAGACAGATACAAAAGATAAAAGTGCAAAGGGACCCAGAATAGCCCAAACAACTTTGAAAAGGAACAAATTTGGAAGACCCACTTTCCAATCTCAAAACTTAGTACAGAGCTACAGTACTTAATAGTGTGGTATTGGCATAAGAGTAGACAGATCAATGGGAATGGAATTGACGGTCTAAAAATAACTTCCATATCTATAGTTAGTTGATGTTTCACATGAATGACTAATGGGGCTGGGACAACTAGATATCCACATTTAAAGGAGTGAATCCCAATGTCATACCATGTAAACAAATTAACTCGAAGGTGGTGGGCTTCATTCCATGATGGGTTAAGCTGCTGATTGGTATACCCGCGTCTCCTCTCAGAATGCCAGTCTGAGTTCTGGCTACTTTGCTTCTGATCCAGCTTCCTGCTAATGCACCCTGGTAGGCAGCAGAGGATGCCTTGAATACTTGGACGTTTCCAGCCAGGTTGTTGCAGGTGTCTGGGGAGTGAACCAGCAGCTGGACATTGTCTCTTTTTCACTCCTCAGCTTCCAGCTCGACTGTCACATTCTCCGAGAAGTCTTCCTTCCTCGAGTCCCAGTTTAAATGAGGACTCCCCTGACTTAGTATTCTTGCAGACCCTGTGCTTTTCATCTTTGACGTTTGTGAGGTAGAATTATTTAAGGTAACAGGAAATGTTTTGTTAACATATATATGATACGTATT